ATTTATGTAATGGACAAATAAAGTGGCATTAAAGGAGAGAAGATGATTACTTTCTTTTTCCTAGAACCAAACCTTAACAAGCTTTTGTGGATGTTAAGATTCCACTGTCATGAAGCCTTCAGGATGGTTCCTTTTATTTGCTTTTTTGAGCGGAAAAAGTTTATGTAAGGGTGAGGCCCTAAATAATCAAATTAAAGCACACCTCAAAATTTTCACTAGGAGGGGTTGTTTCAATACCCAAAAATTTTCAAATTGATCATAATGACCTCAAGATGTATGGAAATGAGAAAACTAGATTTCAAGTATTGGAAATAGTGCATCTTATAATGTATTGTCTGACTGTCAATATCCAAGATTTTCAAGTGTTCATAAATCTGCATGATCAACACTATTTTTTAAGCTTTAAATTTTATAATTAGATATGACATTAAATTTTTAAGCCATCATAAAGATTTTTCATATTGAAACAACATCTTTCGATTCTAATTGAAGGTGTGTCTTACTTTGATTGTTTAGGGCCTCGGCCTTATACAAAGCACACCCTTTTAAGAGACTAGTAGTTGTCTAACTTTAGAGGACACTGTGTCTATATATTTGTCGGCTCACTTGTAAAAACCGTGTCTTGTCCGTGTTTAGAATATGGCGTTATGCAATTAAAGTTATGTCCGTGTTTAGAATATGGCGTTACACAATTAAAGTTATAACGTCCTTGGGTTGTTACCATTACAATGACCCGTGTGATGTTTTTCAAGACCAAAGAGAGTAATATCTTGACGAATCTATGAAATCTCTCCCTAAATATCCGTTATTATAAAAAATCCCTTTTTTTTGTATTTTTGTTTATATAATTTTTATCTTTTTTTTTTTTTCACTTGCTTTCAAATCTTGAAGGTTAGAAGTCTATTCATCTCAGCCCTTTGAGGTTGGAAAAAAATTATAGGACAATTTGGTAGGAATGGAGTCCAAGATCTCTTTCTAGGCCATCGGATGTAGTACCACTGTGATCTCAGCCCATTTTCCCCGAAAAATATGTACATAAAGCAAAAATATGAGGGGACTTTTAAATAACATGAGCATAAATTCTCGAACTTCTTCTACTTGTAATAACAACCAATGGTCATAGTAACGGCCGTTAAAACATTTTCTTTAAACAACTTTCCGTGTATGCGTGCACTCGTAGAGGAACAAGATTCTGTACAACCATACTCCTTAGGCCCACCGGAATCCAAATCACCGCGTACCCTACTCAACAACTCCTACGAAATCAAGACCCAAGTCAAGGTCAGTATAAAATAAGCAATTAAGAAAACAAGCTATTGGTATGAGAAAATTCCGGGAAAATCCTCATAGTAATTGATGTGGTTTAACCTTTATCCATGTGATATTAGATATGCATCATCCACCAAATTTGCCCGAGGCTTTGGTCCGGTTAAATCTGATCCCGGTCAAACCAATAGAACCAGTTTCTAAAAAATACAAAGGTTTAGGAAAAATAGTTTAAAAAGAGGAAAAAAGTAATATATGTACTTTCGCTTATATCAAAAGTATATATCTTTCATTTCCTAGTTGCTCGATTTAAATGAAAAGTCGATATAGTTGTAATTATAATATTATGCCTGTTCTGTTTTTAACTTTCTTTTCCATAAATCATTTTGACATGAAATTTGGAGCGTGCCTGTAGAGTTATCGGGAATCCCAAATACCGAGATCCCACCCAAGATCGTGTACTCAATTGACCAAATACAAACTAAGATGGACACAACTATAAATTGAGTCTGAGAAATAAAGCAAATATAAAAAAACACACTATAACAACACACGATTTATGTGATTCACCCCGTAGGGCTACATCCACGACTTTAGCAACTAGAAATCCATTATCACAATGAAGATTACAGTTTTGGGTTACAAAAGATAATATCTATCTCTAAATATTGGTAAAAGACCATCACTGATCTTTTTTTCTAAACCTGCTCTACCGATTAAGCAACACCGTCGATCAATATCATCTTTTCCACCACAATACCGCTACTAGAAAGATATCCTCAAGAGTAACCGATTGACTTTCTATATCTAGAAGTGGAAACTTTATCAACCAAAAACTCATAGAAATATCGCCTCTCTCTTGGTGGCCATGTCTCTCTCTCTTGGAGACCCATCTCCATATTAGAGATTCATTCTCATAACCCCCAAATGACCCTCAAAAGGATGAGATATTATGTCTTGATTGAGTCTCTTATATAGATATCACTTTCTTATTTCCCAAAACTGTCTATTTTCATTTTATCATAATACCCTTAATTCTTAGAAGAAAATATGGGTATGGTGATTTGGCTATTACAAAAACCAACAATCTCCACCTTGAAAGCAAAATCATCATAATTACGTTAGCGACCTTCATTGCATATATTTCTTGATTTCATCTCACTTGCCTCCATTATAGAATTTTCACAAATACTTTACTTCCATATTTCTCCATGTCAAATCATATATCCATCAAACTTCAAAATTCATCTTTTTCTCAATACTAGCCTTAGCCCCATACACACCTTGCAATCTGATACAAATTGTAGAGCTCTTAAGAACCCATAACTTGTGGAATCGGGAAACTCAAATACTGGGATCCCACCCAAGATCGTATACTCAATTGGCCAAATGCGAAGCTGATGAATACAACTATAAATCAAGTGTAAAAAATAAAACAAACATAAAAAAATACATCACAATAACACACGATTTACGGGGTTTGCCTCGTAGGGTTACATTCACGGCCTCGGCAACTAGAAATCCACTATCACAATGAAGACTACAGTTTCAAGTTACAAGAGATAATACATATCCCTAAACGTCGATAAAAGACCAACACCGGTCTTCCCTTCTAAACCCCCTCTCCCAACCAAGCAACACCATCGATTAACATCTTCTTTTCCACCGCAATACCGCTACTGAAAATATATCAACAAGAGTAACCGATAGACTTTTTCTCTCTCGAATAGGAAGTCTTACCAACTCAAAACTCATGAGAATACCGCCTCTCTCTCGGAGACCATGTCTCTCTCTTTTGAAAACTCATCTCTATATTGGAGATTCATTTTAATAACCCCCAAAGGGATGATCCTTAAAAGGATGGGATATTATGTTTTAATTGAGTTTCTTATATAGATATCATTTTCTTACTTCCCAATAATGTCTATTGTCATTTTATCATAATACCCTTAATCTTTAGAAGAAAATATGGGTATGGTGATTTGCCTATTACCTAACCCAATAGTGGCCACTCCTTATAAAGGTCACCCAATAACAAAAAAAAGAGAGATAAAATAGATTACTAAAATATCCTTAGAAGTTAAGAAATATTTTAGACATTTTATTTTATTATGAGTTTTTTTATGTGTCCCTATGAGAAGTCAATGCACATCAAATTTCATGTCAAAATGATTTATCAAAAAATCAAAATAAAATACTTTTAGCTATCAAATGAAGATCAAACATTCATAGGCTAACTTGTGATAGTATAGCTCACCCATTTAACTCAAACTAGAAACAAGTTTTATGCAGTTTTAACAAGAAGCTTACATGCCTAGTGTTATTACTATCACTGTCTTTTAGGAAAAGAGGCAACTTTAGTGCCCTAGAACTTGTAATAGTTGTGCATTTAAATTGGCAAGTTAAAATCCTCAATGCTCTGCGCCTGTGCATCCTGAAGATAAATTTGCTTGGTAAAAACATTGATGCACACAAATTCGCTATGCGCCTGTGCATCCTGAAGATAAATTTGCTTGGTAAAAACATAGATGCACACAAATTCATATTAGGAAGAAGCAAATGTTGTCTTGAGAAAGTGATTTGTTGGACTTGGGATCAAAGAGATTAAAGCTTATTTGTTTCGTTTACTTTTTATTATTTTGCCCAATTTCACCCAACATTTTTAGCATATATTTAGTTGTTCAAAAATCTTTTTCCATATTTAGAAATTGGAATATGTTTATGTCTTCGGCTCACATTAGTGGATCCAAATTACCAAATATATAACAAATCCAAAAATAATATTTTCAATAAAAATATATTCTAGGTGTGGAACTCATAAGAAATAAAAGTATTCATATCATTTGTTTTGAATGAGTGGAGTGGCTCAAATTATTAAAATGCCCTCACTTGTGTAGGCTTATAATTTCAGGACAAGGTTAGCTTGAAGTTCTTTAAACAAAATTCGAAATGACGTTCCCAATAGGAATCATTCATCTGGTATTTCAAAATATAAGATGGTTCAACTGTTGATAAATATAATTTGATATCTCTCTCTTTATTTGTTGAGGTTGATCTTTTTAAAGCGGGAATTATAAAAACTACCCAAATTGAACTTTCTAGACAATCTCCCCCCCCAATTAGTTTTTTTATTGCAATTTTTATCCCAATACAAATATTTATAGCAAATACCTCAAAGTAAAAAAATGATAGTTCTTTGGACCAAAATGTCATCAACTTGGTCCGACCATTGTACATGTGGTCTGGCAACATGGGCCATACTATCCGGCATATTTGCCATACGGTCCACCATTATGTTTCATATAGTTTAGCATATTTGCCATACGGTCCACCTTTATGTTTCATATAGTTTAACATCTTTGCCATACGGTCCGATAATATATTTTGTCGATCCAGCAGTATATTTTGTTAGTCCAATGCTACTGACACCTCAATATGGCATAAATTGCATGCAGTTTGGTAGATTGTTGACCTCAGTATGGCATAAATTGCATGCAGTTTGGCAGATTGCTGTTGTAGTCCGGCAGTTAATGTGATATAGGTTCCGGTCCAACATTAATATGTGCGTGATCGTCTTTTGGTGATTGAGTGTTTACGAGAACGTACTCTTTCATACTCGCAAAAGTATTAGGGGTGATTTGAAGTAAAACTTAGAGTAAAATACATGATCGGGGGAGGTTATAAAGAAAGTTTGCGCAAAAGGGTTTTAATAACTTTTCCTATATTTTCTCCAAACAAGGTTCAGGGCCCGCCGAACCTCCCTTAAAGTGCCGACGACACAGCCAAGTTCACGAAGCTCAACAATTTTCAGACGATGTCCTAAAAAACCCTAAAATTGCAGAGAAAACCAACCTCCATCTATTTTCTCGCTCGTAGTTTTGGGAGACCGATTCGATCCTGAGATTGCAGAGAAATAAAGCCATTTTTTCCTAACCCTAAAACTTTGCAGGGAAAACACATTATGTATCTAATGGTGGCCTTCTAGCTTGTGTCGTCCGTAAAGGCTCATTCTTTCTCAATTGATCAGCACCCCATTATTCTGCAACTTTCCATTATCAAACGTTCCTTCACCTATAGAAAGAGGGCCATTGCGATGCTTGAACAGATGAAAGGTCCAGGAGTTTGCCAGAGTGTTTTTGAGAAAACGTAATCCGAACACTAGAGTTGCAGAGACACCCGGTCAATGCAGGCTTGCGAACTGTTCATAGATGGTAAAAAAACGCTTTACTATTACATTTTCACATTAGCTCCCATTGTTCCGCAATTCGTCATGACCCATTGTTCCCATTCCCTAAAGAAAGCAGCTCATAAAGTATGCACTGTGTTATTACAACCCAAAAACCGAACTTTTTCCACAAATCTTTTGGATGAGACCCTAACCCGAAATTTCCAGGAATGCCCAACTCTTTCCCCAAATCTGTTGGCTCGAATGCTAACTCTAAATTTGCAGAAAAAACCAATTTGCCACCAAAATCCTTTGAACAAAAACCTAACCCTAAATTTGCAGAGCAACCCGTTTCTTCACTGGCCAAGAGCCGTACATGCCTCTGCTGATTCCATTCCAGAGGAGACTCCATCAACCTCTGCTCACTCCGGTCCCCGAATCTCTCGGTGTGCTCGAAATGAAGCTGAAGATGCTCTCTTGGACTATCTCCACTGCACGAGATGCTTAAGTTTCCCTGACGCAGAGCACATAAGCAAGAATTCACCCACTTTTATTCACTACCTCTTATCAAAAGTTGAGAACAAGCAAGAGATTGGTCGCTCAGTTTCGAGGTTTTTACGATACCATCCCATTAATGAATTCGAGCCATTATTTGAAAGCTTGGGGCTAAAACCTTGTGAATTTGCCTCTCTACTCCCTCGTGGCCTTATGTTCTTAAGTGATGATCAATTATTGTTAGACAATCTCCGTGTTCTGTGTAAATATGGTGTTTTGCATAGTGAGATAGGGAATATGTACAAGGAAGAGAGAGAAATTTTCAGGCATGAAGACGGTGTCTTGCTTTCGAAGCTCAAAGCTTATGAGGAGCTGGGTTTCAGTCAACCTACTGTTGTAAAGATTGTGGCTTCTTGTCCTTCTCTTCTCGTTGGGAATGTTAATGAGGAATTTTCTAGGTTAATTGTAGAAATTGAAGGTTTGGGTATTGAAAAAGATTGGATAGGGGGTTTTTTATCCCCAAAGAACAAGTATAATTGGAAAAGAATGTGGAGATTATTGTCTTTTTTGGAAAGGATGGGTTTCAAGAAGAGGGAATTAGCTGAAGTTATTGAGAAGCACCCAAATTTCTTCTTCGAAGGTTCAGGAGAGAATATGTATACTCTAATTGCTCTATTGATGAAATTGGGTTTTCACATAAATGATATCATGAGCTTGATTTGGAATTTCCGGAGAGATTCAAGCCCAAATCTAGCGAAGAATTTTTGGCATGGGATACATTTCCTATATGAAGCTAGGTTAACAGTCGGGGATATAGTTAGGCTCGTGCACTCACACCCTCGTGTCTTGAGTTCATGCACTTTAAAAAGGCCCAATTCGGTGCAGAAACAGCTGAATGTGGGGATCAAACGTTTAGGCTTGATAATTTTAGAGGACCCAAATCGATTAAGAGATTGGGGATTGCGGACGAAGCTCCACCCAGTTTCTGGTCCCTCAGAGGATGAGCTATCATTACTCAAGAAGACGCAGTTCTTGTTAAAATTAGGATTTGTTGAGAACTCAAAGGAGATGGTCAATGCTTTGAAGCAGTTTAAAGGCAAAGGGGATGAATTACAAGGGAGGTTTGACTGTTTAGTAGGAGCAGGATTTGAACCTAATGAAGTCTCTCACATGACAAAGCTTGCTCCTCCAATATTGCAACAAAGCCAAGAAAAGCTCCGGATAAAGATAGATCTCCTTGTAAATAGATTTGGGTATCCTCTGAAATGTTTGCTGCCTTATCCCTGGTTTCTTTGTTATGATGTGGGAAGGATCAAGCTTAGGTTTTCAATGAATGAATGGCTCAAAGAGAAAGGGGTAACCAGCCACACATCGGCTATAGGTAGTATTATTGCCTGTTCAGAGAAGAGGTTTATAGAGAGGTTTGTCAGTCTCCACCCTGAAGGTCTGGAGGTTTGGGAGGAATTAAACACATAGATGATTTTGGGATGAGGTTTTATCTTTCATTTTGATTAGTTGTCTCGATTTGCAGAGATATATGCAAGCTTTCAATGATTTATCTTGTAATCCTCACTTTGCATCCTGTATTTTTCTCTCTGCATCTTTTATCAAAAGGATTCATCATACTGCGCATGATCTTGGCCAGAAGGCTATAAATTTTCATGATTATACAAATAGCCAAAGGAAAAAAATGATCCAGTACCTATTTTTTTTGTTGTGTAGCTGGGGCTCTGTCTTGGTTCAAACTTGAAAGGATTCTTTCCTTATTTTTAAGGTGGCGTCCCTTGAGCATATTTTTTCAGGAGGAGGTCACACTTGTGAGGCTCTGATTTTCTGAAAATTTTCATACCAAAATGTTTGTAAGAGAACTAGTTTATTTTGGATTTGTTTGGAGAAGAATTGATGATGTGATAGTGATTAGGGCCTTACAAAATCTTACCAGACATTCGAAGGTATGGAGGTTGGGCAGGCATTAAAGAAATAAATGTTCTTGGGATGAGGTCTTATCTTTCTATTTGATTCAATTGTGTGGATTTACTGAGCTATATGCAAGCTTTCACTGCTTTATCTTCTATTCCTTACTTTTTCCTTTATGTTGTCTCTATACAATCTCTGATTGAAAGGCACTTGATCTTAGCCAGAGGGCCAAGAAAGGTATACGGTTTCATCATCATACATTTTGCCGAGAATAACATAAGATGGATTCATTAAACGGTTTCTCTGTTGTGTTGCTGACATTTTGTCTAGGTACAAACTTGTAAGGTTTCATTTTTATGGGCTTCCTTGAGCTTATTTTCTCTGAAGGAGGTCACACTTTCAAGGCTCTGATTGGCTCAAAATTTTCTTACCAAGGCATTTAAACTTGGGGCATGAAAAAACTAAATCTATTTTAGATTTGTTTGGAGAAGAATTGATGGCGTGGATGAGTGCCTAGGGATTGGACAGGTTGAATTTCTATCTGAAATGAGTTAATCAATTAAGTATTGGTTTAGAGGGAATATGAGGTTGAGATCCAAGTCAAACATAAGAGATTTTGGATGGAGAAAAAGAATGGAGTATGCTATTTGGTGTTAGCCTTTTCTTAGTGGAGTCATGTGTTGTTCGTATAGTGTCTTCCTAATGTGAATCCAAATGAACTCTATAACAATGAGTTTGAAACAGTTTATATGGCAGGTTACGTTTCAGGATTCTGCAAAGATTAGCATCGCTTGTGCTATATAAACGGATACTGTTAAGTTATATGCCTGTCAACCATGGCAAGATTGGACCTCAGGTGATCGATGACATTTTTTTGTATGTGATCATACTCCAGTCATTTATTTGGCAATCCTACCATGTTTATTTCTAATGGTTCTCCTTTTTTCATAAGAGTAGGGTCGCATTTTCTGCTAAATTTTTGGACCTATTAAATCTTTATTATACTGTATGAACCTCGGTTTTTCTTGGAGAATTTGCTGATCAAAACTGCACTGTCCTTTCTTTGTTATTTATTACATCGAAGATTTATCAATAGCGATAATGAGTGGTTCTATTTAAAGTATCCAAAAGACCAAATTTTCTATGAATTTCAAAGTCTCAGTAAGTTTTGACTTGAAATCTTTGGTTCCTAGGTCTTAGACATCCGAAAATGTTTCGATCACCTTTTACTGGAATAAACCTGGTTCAACGTTTTCTAATTTTATTTTGAACAAGGTTATGCATATCTAGGAACAGATGATTCATGACATTGGATGTTATAGGTCCGAATGGAATTCATAGGCTTACTTTGTTGTGATTTAGCAGAAGTGAACTTGGCTGAAATGAAGGGCCTTTTTTTTTTATTTATTTTTCTCATAATGACGCATTCTGTCAATACTAAAAAAAATAAAAAAGAAAAACGGTTTTTTTCTATCAAATTCATTTTTCATATGTTCAATCATTTTCTTAACATTTCTTAAAAACTTTGATGGCGTTGTAGCTAGAACACGCTGGGTTGTTAAAACCATCCATTTCTTTTCAATATGGGCCATCCATTGAAAGAAAAAGAGTGGTACATAGAAGTTTTTTCGGTATGGTGATTGCAGATGTTGTTTTTTATTAACATAATCATCGTGCTTATATGATTTTATCTCGTTTTACTTTATTGTTACAGTTTCTCCTTGTCATGCAAATGTTTTTCTTGTATCATCTGAATTCTTCGGAAAATTTTCTTTACATAAATTTCTGATCACTTTATTTATTAATTTTCAGGTTTTTTGGGTAAGATCACAAACATGACTTGATTCGGAAATCAACTGTTGCATTGCGTTGGAGTGGAAGCTAGCCTCCCCTCGAAAGTAGTGAATCCTCAATTCCTCATACACTCGTTGGAGTGAAAGATGATAGCTTCCACTCGAAAGTAGTGAATCCTCAATTCCTCATACAATCGATGGTAAGTTTTGTGTTATTCTTTCGTTTGGCTTTGTCCATCTCATTTTGTTAATTGGTGTATCAATTCTTGTAAAAATTTGTGAGGCAGATATTTCACAATCGCTGAGGGTAAGGTATCTATAGGATATAACAGATCATTTTCTTCAATCATATTCCACAGAAGTAAATTATCGTACCCAATCTGGTCATGGATCTTAACAAGAGAAGATCAAAAAGAAGGCGCCATGAAGTGGACCCAATACCCTGTCCATGTGGCCAACTTATATGAAACATTAATTAATGATATGAATTTGAGGCTTTGATCTCTGAATCGAGTTCGTAGCAGACAACTGGTGTAGCCCATGAAGGAGCTTGTGATTTGTAACAAGGCTTGCCAAAAAATGTTCCCATAAAGCTTTCCGTGGGTCTTAGACTCTGAATTTCGCTTGGATATATCCGGGATAACTTTTCAAATAAGAAGGAAGCCAGTCCGATAACATCCTCCAGAAAACCGTAATCCCAACTTCTCAACTCTTACTCAGAGTATATAAACCAAAGGGCAAGCTTTCTACGCTATCCCTACAACATAAACCTTATATACTTCCTTTTATCCAACCCTCCATTGTGAATGGAGGGCTAAGATTGCTTCAATCACAATGTCATGTCTCTATACTATTATTATTATTTTTTTTTTTAAACTATTTTGACACCGAATTTTGTACGCCCAATTTTCTATTAAATTTGCACTAGAGAAAAATATAAAAATAATATTTCCAATAAATAAAATGACCAAAATAACCCTAGAAGTTTCAAGGTGTATTTTGGTAATTATATTTTATCAAAAATTACTTTTAATGTTTTTTATAGGTATGCCTCAATGAGAATATGACACATACCAAATTTCATATTCATATAATTTTTATAAAACAAACTAAAACTAAAATACTTTGAGACATCGGATTTAAGATGAAATGGTGAGTGGCTCTCTTGATCAAATTTGGCGGCTGGAAAGCGGGGGAAACATAAATCTTCTATGCTATAGGGAAAGTATAGAAACCTTTCCCAAAACGAAATAAGGCCTCATAGAGAGCATAAAGGCCAAAACCATAATGATTAACATAAGGAATTGTTTTGTACGGGGCTTTTTTTGTTTTTTTCCCAAACATGGATCAGATGGCTCAGGCTCTCAGTTCAGACTGAGCTCAGCAAGATGGCCCCATAATTCATTGGCTAAGTCGTCTGCGTGCAAAATAAAAAAAGGTTTCATAAATAATTCAACATTCCTATAATTAATCAGTAGTCACAAAATTATAGGATACATATTATTCGATATAGACTTCGAACAATTAGTATCACAAGTACAAGAAGCAGTTTTTAAGCGAACTGCACATGAGAGCATTATGGAAGTAAGTTTAGTAAAGTGAGATAAAGATGGAATAAATAAAAAATATTTGACACTACATCAAAACAATTATGTACAATTGAAAACTCATACAAACATAATATAGAAGATGCAAGGAGAATATTAACTTGGCTTAAAATACAGAGAGTGTAAACTAAGGGTGCGTACCTGCAGATTCGAAGATTTTGCCGTGTGATTCTTTGCCTGTGAAATTTCGGCTGGCTTTAACCAAATCAGGGTCCTCACAAACCAATTCTGACCAAATACTACCACTTTTAGTCAAAGTCGGCGCATTGCCTGCAATCCAGAGGCTATTTCTGGTAGGAATAAAAACATACAAATCATAAACTCACCAACACTGAATGAACAATACAACGACGAAATTTAAGGGAATTTATCAAAATACATCTAAGGGATGAACTATTTAATATTTTATTCATTTTAAATCATTTAATTTCAAAAGCCCAACAAAATGTTAAATAGTTGAAAAGGAGTAAAATGTTTGAATAGTTGAAAAGGAATAAAATGTTAAATAGTTGATAAGTTAGGTGTATTTTGATAAATTAATGAAAAAAATGCTCACCTTGCCCTTGTCAAAGCGACGTTAGTCCTGTTGAGATTGGAGAGGAAACCGATAGACCCCAATTGATTTGCTCTAATAGTAGAAAGTAGAAAGCGTCATGAAGCTTCCCAAGTTTAAGCACCAAATTCATTTTGATTGAAGAAGGTTAGGGGCAAGTGAGTCCACAAAGCACTAATACAGTCCTTCATTAGCAAAACTAGTTTAGTGAACTTCTCCCTGAAAGCCCCGACAAACTTTTGCCTTTATCTCTTTTCCAAAGAAGGATCGTATTCATCAACATAAGACTGAATATTTTTAATTGCTAATGCTATCTTTTCTTCCAACCAGAAGGGCCAAAGCAAAAGCATTCTTCAAGTGCACGAATCCTGTAATCGATATAGTTATCACCAATTTGATTATCAACACCCAGTCTTTCCTCATTTCCAATCAATAAAATAAAATGTCTCCTAAGGGAAACCCAACCAATGAAGTCCCATGTAGTGTAGTGGTGTTCGTGATTTTTTTACTAATTCCACCATACATACGGCTTCCAATTTCATTGATTGCTACATTAGTCGGAGCACAGGTAAGAGTCGCACAATTCATATGCAAAGCTACCCAAAGAATTGAACAAATTGTTCTACTCTTCCCTGTGCTTGGAAGACCCAATATGAGTTTCACAGAATAAGTGTGGTTGCATCGAATTGAAGATAAAGCAGAGTAAACAGCTTTAGTTTGTGAGTCATTTAATCTTGATTTCAGGTTCTTATCAAGAACTCCTCGAGAGCATGAATCACAAGTTTTCTTCCCCTCTTCAAGAAAGCAACAATAATGCATACACACAAAAGATAATTCCACTCCGAAGCAGAAAATTTTGTAATTTTGAATACTCACATGTAAGAAATCGCATTCAGGCGGAAAAAAAGAAAAAACGTAGCAAAAACAGTTGCGATTTGTGGAAAAACATTCCAAACTCGGATCAAAAGAAAAAACTGTAAAATAATTAAAATTTGCACATTGCAACACAAGAAAACAATATCACCCTGAAGAATCAGGAAAAGAACAAAAAATAACGAAAGGAAGAAAACTGCTAACAGAAAACATACTAAAAAAACATAATCACCAAAAAACAAACACAAAAAGAAACAAATACTCAAAAGCAAACAAACTTCGCAAAAAAAAAAACTAAGAAAGTCATACCAAATAGCTAGAAGAACACAAAACCTCGCCGAAAATTCCAAGAGCTTCCTCTTTTGCTCTGATTCTGTGCAATGATTTCCAAATTTGCAAACTCGGTGTCAGAGTCATCAGGAAGATCGCTACGAAACCAACATCAAATGGAGGAACATCCAAAAGCTTCTTCTTCATCGCGAAAGGAATTACTTTACAATCAGAAGAACGTTTGTCATCAACCACAGAGATGACACCCAAACCGTGGTATGAATCAGTTCTGAATAAGTCTTCAATGGAGTTGGGTTTTGTTGTTGATAAAGAATGGCATCCCCACAATGTGGTTTGTAGCCATTTCCAAAGCTTTCTCCACTGTTGGTGCTTAAAATGTAGGTCAACTTCCCCCATCTCTCTAAAACCAAAGTCCATGGAGCTTTTGAAATGGTTAGAAAAGACTGATTCAGTTGAGCTCGTGTGTCTTCTAGCAATGGGGAAACAAAGGAACCAAAATAATGGTCGAGAGATGAGAATCTCTGTGGAATATCGATGACCTGAACAAACCATGCATAAAAGAAGAAACATGAAAAGAGAGAGAAAATGAACAAGCAACATCAAATTATCATATGTTGTGTGAGAAAATATGGAAGGTGAGAGAAAATAACAAGCTATCATAAATGTATACTAAGCTAATCATTTCATCACCTAGGTTTAATGGGTTTAAAAGATACCCTTTTAATGTGTGTTTTT